AATTCCGGTGAGAACATCTTTGATCTAAGAATGTGATGCATTATATTCTGAATGATTTAAACTGTAGCAGATATGGGCATGTTTGTGTCAGGCATTTCGGTTTATGTAAATTGAACTTATCATCTTAAATCCACCAGAAAACACAGGTTAACAGGGAAATAAAACAAGCTTAGGGAGAGAGTGAGAAACTGTTTTGAATAGAGCATTGAGTAACTCTGAGGCTAATGTAATATTTCACTAATGGCATTTGTCTCTTTCCCACAGAGGGATATACATCGTTTATAAAGATGGAGATGTTGATAATCCAATGGTCAAAGAGAGGGTCTGGCAAAATAGTGATTTCAACTTTGATAATGTTCTGTCTGCTATGATGGCCCTTTTTACAGTATCCACTTTTGAAGGCTGGCCAGCGTGAGTGAATTCTCCATGTTTTCACAGCATTGTTAGGATGGTGACATTTTCCAGAACAGTTCTTTATCATTTACCAGGCCTTTTTGGACAACAAAGCAGTCTTAAATGATGGTATAAAAATGTATGAGTGGACGAAGGGAAAAAACCTACCGTTCTTCTGAATCTGTGCACTTTTCCTATATTTCTTCATTAACTTCTGTCTATAAAGGGCAAACTTTTTAAATATTGTTTGATTCCTAATCTTTTAGCTGCTTTTGCTATAATAAGCTATTCCTTAGCTCTAAGGGACGTAATCCTTTTAGATGTTTATCCATTGATGCCCTTTAAATAATAATAATAATAAAATTTTAGGCCTTTGAGTAAAACTTTTACTAAAAAAAATCAGGCAATATTACACTGTATAGAGAAACCTAGGAAGAGCAAACTACCACTCACTATTTCCCTAAATGAGAGAAGTCTTAGAGGATAGTTTATATAGGGAAAGAAAAAAAATAAAAATACGACCATCTAGTCATTGCCTTGATTCTTTTGGCAAAAAGTGTATAGTGTGGTGTGATTCTTCTGGTTTCAATATGCTTGCAAGCACTGTCAGTAACTAGAAAGAGATAACAGTAAACAGCAGACCATTTCTGAAACCTGTCCTTTAAGTCTGCATATTTTACTGTCTTTTGTTATTTTAATGGTAATAAAGAAAAAATTTTGTTTGTTTTTCAGGCTGCTATACAAAGCTATTGATTCAAATGGCGAGAATGTAGGACCTGTATACAACTATAGAGTGGAGATCTCCATTTTTTTCATCATCTATATCATCATTATTGCTTTCTTTATGATGAACATATTTGTTGGTTTTGTGATTGTTACATTCCAAGAACAGGGAGAACAAGAGTATAAGAACTGTGAGCTGGACAAAAATCAGGTTAAAATAAATAATGAACTCTTAACTTCTGAAAGTATCCTTTTTTTATGTGTGAAGAGTTTCCTTTCTGCTTTGGGTCAGAAGAGGGCACCAAACACATATCTTAGTAAAAAAATGGGATTCATAAATACTGTCAACTGGAATTCAGGTCGTTGTGTGTTCCTCTTTCTGTAAGCCCAACATATCAGTCTTTTTGTTGTGAAAAGTGTTACATAAAGCTTGTAAACTTGTTAGTGTCTCACTTGGTGTCACATTAAGAAGAATACAGCACTTGCCAGCTTATTCATAGGCAGATGTAGGTTTTACAGTAAGAACAGGAAAATAAATTTTGTGTTTTGAATAGTCTGAAAGTGTTCAAAGTGAAAGTATTCAAAATGTTCTACTCTTCCCCCCTCCTCATTTATTGAGAAATTCATGGGAATATTCAGATTCAAGTTAAAAATCTGTCCCCTCTTACTGTTTAGTCCTTTGACTGAGAAACTCATAACTCACCAGTCATGAATTTTCAGGTACTCATGTCCAGCTGCAACACATTTCATTTAAACTAAGTTGAGCATGAAACTTTAGCCAGCGTTCATTCTGCACTTTGTGCCCTGTCAGCTTTTGTAAGCATTCTTTAATGCTTAGATAAGTGGAAGGCCCAGCCTATGTGAAGATTTCAGGCACTAATAGAGATGAATCTGTGATTTTCCTACATAAATGACACTATTTCACTGGGCAATTTAACTGAACTATTAGGAATAACAGTTCCTCAGTATTTGTTTTGCTGACTCTAGGGTTTTATACTATGCAGTTTTGTTGGTGGTTAAAAATTTGGTAAAGACAAAGCATGACTTTTAGATGAACTAATGGTCATGCTGTATACTATACATGTACATACATATAGTCTGTGGTATACTACTGTATACTGCTGCACTGTATGAAGTCAGAATTTCCACGAGCATTATTTGATTCTTTGTATGTGGCTGAGTAGTGTATATGTATAGTAGTGTACGGACACAGTTGTAACTATCCAAGTGAGGACTGGTAAGCTACTTGATTACTTTATTAACACTTTATAATAAAAAACGATACACCAAGTAGATAGACTGCCTGTTTTTACGACTTACATTTAACAGTTTGCACTTAGTGATGTATTATCAGTTGATAGTCTGACAATTTTTGATGTCTTTGCTTTTACAGCGTCAGTGTGTAGAATATGCTTTGAAGGCACGTCCTCTTCGTAGATATATTCCAAAAAATCCTTATCAGTACAAGTTCTGGTATGTGGTGAATTCTACTGGATTTGAATACATCATGTTTGTCCTCATCATGCTGAACACACTTTGCTTGGCTATGCAGGTAGGAAAACGAGAAGCTCTTCTGAAGCTGTTGGCATGAATTGCAGGGTAGGATAGGGATGATATAATGCCTTTAATTTGTGGCAATCTGTATTTTTTTAATGAAGTGAAATTTAAAAAAAAGCACCTCTGATCATAGTACTCTTCTGTGACATGTTCTGGTCTGTTTATCAGTTCTCTGAAGTAAAATTGTTCAAAACAGCTTGATGTTGATAAATGTCTTCCTAACCTGATCAAGCTCTTTGAGCTTCATTTTGTACCTGCAGTGTAATTCAATTTGTATTATGCATGTGTACTCTCAAGATTATCCATGTGCAAGAAAATCTGAAAAGTCCAATTTTTGTTAGCAAACATTTCTCAACCCCTTAGATTCTTTTATCTAATATATTATTTTGTGCGATGCCTTTAAGCATTACTTCACCTCTGTGTAGTTTCTGTACTTGTTCTGTGTTCATTTTATATATTTACTACTCCATATTTCCCTGGATTGGACTAGATGATCTCTTTGGAGATTCCCTTAAGTTGTAGAGGAATGACAACTTTATTCCACTCAGTGCCTGAACAGAATAGATTTAAACTCCTTTCTTGGCCAGTGATGTTCAGCTAGTCTTCTATGTATTATAGGTGTGCATCATAAATACTACTAGAAAATATTGGGCTGCCTTTACTATTTTAAAGCCTTTACTTTTAAAAGTATTGTATTTTTCATTCACAGCACTATGGACAGTCTAAGCTCTTTAATGATGCAATGGACATTATGAATATGGTTTTCACAGGAGTGTTCACTGTTGAAATGGTTTTGAAACTGATTGCATTCAAACCCAAGGTAAGTTCTAGATGTGATTTAATTAGGTGATCACCACAGGAATTAAGTATAACGTAAGTTTCACACTAGCTGAGTATTATTCAAAGAACAAAAAGAAGATACATTTCGCACATTTATCTCTCAGTGAAATCATAATAGAAATGTTAGTCTGACAATATGTGTCTATATAACTCCAGGAAATGAAATGCAGATATCAAAAAAAAATATTACAAGGTGGTTGATAAGATCTGGAATATTTTGAGGTAATGAAAATGTCCCTTTATAAATCAGATGAATCATTTCATATTACAAGCATTAGTGCTTGTATTCATGGACTACATTCATAACTTTACGCTAAGTTAATCTCCAGTAAAGAGCTGTATGTTATGTTATATTTCCTATTTGAAAATGCAAAATTATTTCTTTGAAGTAGTTGGCTATAGTTTATAAACATACTCATAAATCATTTGCATATTCAATAGCCTTTTTAGATTTTTATGTTTTCAGTTATAAATACACAATACTTAGTTGAGGGCCCCACAGCAAGAAGTTGATTCCTTGCCTTAAAGGGACACTGTCAAAATGAATAGTGTGGACACATTTTCCAAAGTAGATTTGCAAGAGAAACTGGTAACTAATTACTAATTGAAAAAAATAAATAAAATCAGACTGTGAAAGTTAATGTAGTCTTTTTTTCAGTTCTCATACTGCATTTATGGCGGTGCAAAAGTTAATAATGAAAAACTAAACTAAATTTTGTTTTCAGTACAATGAAAGTAATGTTTATTCTGGGCTTATATCTATTTAAATAAGTAGAATGTGGTCACTTGTTATACATGGAATTTGAAAAAAGCCAGACATGCCATTTGAAGTTTACTGATCTCACCATCTAAGGCTGGTCTTTTTTTGCCCTTCTTTTAACGTATGTATCCACATCTGTAATTGGCTGTGAACTGTGCCCTTTCCTGGTGTTAAGTTGTGAACTGAATGACTGTAGGCTGTTTGGGCAATCTTATTCTTGCTTTAAACAAGCTAGCTCTCATACGTAAAGCAACATAGTCATGGCTGCCCAGAGCTCAGTGTAGGGTAGGTATATAACTGCTTTCCAGCTTTTCAAAACTACTTACTCATCTTGCGTTTAGTCGTGAGCTTGGCTGTGGAGCCTGAGCTACTTGATTTAAAGCTAGCTTGTATTTGCCTGCAGAAGTAAACAAATTACACATCACTTGAGGTCTGCTGTTGAGATGTGAAGTGTGGAGTTCTGGGTGAATGCTTACCCACTCTGCTGTAGTCTTGCTCTGCACTGTCCAGTCCATTGTACATTTCTAATGAATTTATTTGTATTTTTGTGTCACCTTATTTAAATGCTATGAAAAATAACACAGTATGAGGCCCCAGAGGAGGTAGCTCAGCTATGTGGACTACAGCGTCATGAGTATGCTGATTGTGTTTCCTGATTTGTATTTACTGTTTTATATCCTTGTTTCACACTGAAGTTTCAGAAGACTTTGCTGCATTTTATCATCTGCTCTTTGAAAGAAGATTGTGAATCCTTGTATGGTTTTCCATGCACTTGTGACTGTAGTCAGAAATAGAAGCTCGCACAAAATATATTAGTCTGATCATAAGTGTATAAATAGCAGTGCTCCATTTGTACTATGGACTTCCTACTTGTTATCGAATGCAATGTCTTAATACTGGTCTCTAAGACTTTGTACAATTTGAGTTTTAACTCTGTTGTGACATGCTTTCTATCTGATTGGATGCTTTAACTGTGCGAGATCACTGGATCTGAACCCTGCGAATTTGAAGGGCAGACACTGTCAGTGAAAGGTTCTTATTTCCTGAATTGCGTTCCCACATGGATGCAGAACACCTTAAACTTGCTAACTAGCAGGACAAGGGTAAAAGGCCATAGTATTAATCAGACTTTTGGCAGAGACTACTTAGCAGGAAGGGAAGGGTGTTAAATATCTTTAAGGTTGTTCCTGTTATTCTTTGAAGACTGTCGCTTTTTTACTTGTCAGATACTCTTTAACAGAACACCTATTGGCAACATATGTTACGTAGTTCATTAATAATTGCAAATCAGTTAGCAGTCTTAAGCAGAATGTGAATGTCTCTTAGAAATCTAAATTTCGAACTAGATATACGCTTAAAACAACCATGAATTGCTTTAACTCATATTAAGATTTAATAATAGTAGGAACAATCTGAAATCCAACAATGTTTTGCTTTAGGGGCTGTGAGGAAAGACTGATTCGTGTCCTCTGTATTTGTGTCACTGATGGGTTTCTTAGTCTAGTCTGGCAGAATGGACAGTTTGCTTTATTAATTTTGTGTGCTTTAAAAAGTATTTTAAAGATGCTTAAAGATCGACTAAAAACTCCATTACCCACACTGTAAAAATGAGAATAGATAAAAACATGTTAGTTTTTATCTCCACTGCTTGACAGTGTCCCCTTAATATGGTGACAAAAGCCTGTAGAAACTGTGATGTTTTGGTTTTGCTGGTCATGCAAACTTAAGGCTACTATAAATTATTAATACTCTTACCATGATATTGTGTTGTTTAAAACCAAGGTACCGCAAACTTCTTCCAGCTCTGAAATATATAAAATTTGGATAAATGATAGATATTAAAGATGTTGCTGAGTCTCTGGCACACTTCTTGACTGGGAGATTGGAACACACAGTATTTTGCAGAATGAGGCCCTTAACTTTTCAACAGAGTACTAAAAGGACTAAAATATTTATGTGGTAGATCTATAGAAACAAATTTTGGTGTTAATTCTCTATGCCTACATATTCCCCAGGATTTATGATTTTATCCTTCAGCATTTCTCAATGAAAAAAGTTTTAATAATATAACTTAAAAAGCAGGCGGTTTTCTTCACATTGTTCTTCACATTTGCTAAAATGTTACTTAGCATGGTTTAGTACAGTCCAAAGCCTAATACAGCCATGAAATCTAAAATAATACATCAACACATGCCATATGTACAGCTTCATGATAGATAGCTGTTACTTAAACTTGTAATGATTTTCCATGTCATTTTACATCAGATTTTTGTAAGAAAAAAGGAAAGATGGCTAGTAAGTGAATTGATCTTGGGTCATTGCAGTGGTGAAAACAACTTATTTGCATGATGTTTATTTGCTGTGACTTGTCCATTCCTCCCTTTTCCAGAACCATCTTTATTTTCTCTTAGTTTTTTTGTTTCTTTGTATGCTTTTGCTTTACATATTACTTTGAACAATATTTGTCTATACTGATGGAAAAGGTTTCATAAAATAAATAAATGTGTAAAGTATTTTAGCTGTATTTAATCGAAGTGTGAATTTGTTATTTCAGTGCCTTATACTATAGCATGTCTAGTAAAGTAACTTTTTCCATAGCTGAAATTAACCTTTATTTGGAGGACCTCTTTTGGTTCCTGTTGTTGTAGAGGAAGATGGATAGCACAGCTCAGGATTGTGCTCATTATCTGTTTGCTGTTTGCCAGTAGTTTCTTATGTATGTATACAAATATCACTATTTTAAAAGGAAGAAGGAGACTTCTTTTAAATAAGAGAAGTAATGAATATGAATGATCAGGAAGTCTATTGTAAGAGTAGCTTCCCTTCTTTAGATGGCAGCTGCTAATCTCTTTAGGATTATGAATTTCAGTATTGTTGAGGTGGTTCAGCATGATGTTTAGTAGAAACTTTGGGAATGGCTTGTTCTCGTAAAGCAGGGCAAGTAAGGAAGGAACAATAGGGGATTGTGCAGGAGCTCTCTGAAGTGGATGCACTTGTCAGGAGGCCAAATCCATAAACACTGACTTTTGCCCCAAGACTGGAATTGATGACTAATCCCAAAGAGAAGCATGGGGCACAAAGGGCCACAGTGATAATCATACTCTGATTTATTTTCTTCTTACAGCCCCTTCCTTGAAGGAGGGAATAATTATAGCAATTTGTGATTTAAAAGAGGGTTAGAAACATTTGAAAGAGCATTAGAAACTTTAAAAGTAGCATTAGAAACATAACGTGGCTTTCCTGACTCTGCTCAGTGCTTACTCTCCCAGAATATGCTGTAGAGCTGTCTTCTGCTGTAGCAGCTCTCAGTCTTCAAGAGTATATTTCCACATGAAATTAGATTTTTTCAAATAGTGATGCACTTGAGTGTAACTTTTCAACTGCGAAGTTACTAGAAATTCTAGAAGTTTAAAATCTTGGGAAAAATATTGTCCAATTCTAAAAAGTTTTGTAGCTCATTTTGCTTTTCTGTGCTAACAACACGTGTAACAAACTACTCAGCTAAAACAATTATGTTATAGTAAACAGTGTCATAATAAGTGTAACTAGGTGTAAGGTTAGATTTAGCACACTTGTAATTTTAAACCTTTTGCTAAATTTATTTTTTAGAACTTAATTGTAGTTGACAAGTCAGTATTTTTAAATTAATTACCAGGAAAGCAGAGTGTATGTGTACAAAATATACATTTCAGCCTTTGTCATGTAATGCACATTCCTTAGTCATGGTTGGCTGATAAATTAATATATCCGAATGAGAAAAAGGGCAAGGTCAGTAATTTTTGCAGTTCTGAATTTCTGTTATAACTAGGTGAAATCCACATATGGGAGAATCTCCACATATCTTGGCTCCGTAGAATTGCCTTCAACAGAGTAAAACATCTTAATTTGTTCCCAGTGACAGATCGAGCCTGGAACCTACCTCAAGGTTTCTTCTGAAATATCTTTTTGCTCAAACGTGCAGTTTTGGTGTCAATAGACAGCTAATTGCATGACAGCACTTTATAACCATTTGCAGCGGTGTGCCAGTAACATACACATAGGGAATATATTTAAAGCTGTAAAATGTCGGCAGGGTGACTAAGCAATTAACGAACATGAATTTTAAGGACTGGCTGAGTTAAAAGCATTAAGAAATTGCACTTAGCACTGACTTCAGTGGTTCCAGAATCAGGCCCTGACTGCAAATATAGTGTGAGTTCCTATATTAAACTTAGTTTATGAACAGAAGATTGTCAGTTCTCTAGTATTTATGCACAGTTCCACTTCAATAATTGTGCATGATTAACCAGTGATGAGCTTTGACCCTTTGAATATTTTTACCAGTCACTTAGATAGGACTATCATAAAGTCATTAATGTTAAGGAGGTTTCAATTGGCTTGGTGTTGTAGAAATACTATTAAAGGGACTTTGTCACGCTTCTTAGGGTATATATGTTAGAATTTTTCAGCCTTGGTCGAAGTCCAAAACCAGTTTTGGATGATGGCTTGCTTGCCAACATTGTGCTTATATGATGGTGTATTATGCATGTGTACTGCGTGCGTGTGTGCGCGTGTGTGTGTGTCTGTGTATGTGTCTGTACATGTATATATATAAAGTATATATATACACACACATGCACATATATGTTGCTTTTCCTTCAGTAGGCAATATTGTTTGTTTTGTTTTGTTTTCTCATTAGACCACAGGTTTTGTTTAACTAATTTCTGTTTATGCAAAACTAAACAGAAGTATGCAAATATTTGACATTTCATGTGTAATCACAAACGTTTGCACCCTGCCTGCTCTGTTCAGGGCTATTTTAGTGATGCCTGGAATACGTTTGACTCCCTCATCGTTATTGGCAGCATAGTAGACGTCGTTCTCAGTGAAGCTGATGTGAGTATACCCCAGCTTACTTTCCCCAGTCCCTACTTCTCTTTCTCTGTCTCCCCACTATTTCCATCATCTGGACAAGTCACAGATTTTGATCTGATGTTTCTAAAGTTTGAGTACAGACCAGTCATAGGTCAATTATGTTGATATGGGAAATAAATAGCCTTTTTTTTCTGCCAATTTTTTTTAGCTATGGAAAGGAAAGATTAGATTGTATAGTGGTACATCAGAGAAGCCTAGAGTGTTTCTGTGTTATAACACTGTCCTTTTCTTCTCTTTTTCTGTTTGTGTTTTTCTCTTGCTCTCTTTCTGCTGAATGCTTGTCCTAACAGCACTATTTCACTGATGCATGGAACACTTTTGATGCCTTAATTGTTGTTGGTAGCGTCGTTGATATTGCTATAACAGAAGTTAATGTAAGTAGCAACCGTTCATGCACTAAAAAGTAATTGCTGTCATCAAGAAATACAGAAAATGTAAACTTTATCCTCCGAAGTCTTTTTTTTTAGAAAAGTATGTTTTATCCTGGAATCAAAAACCAAAACATTGATATAGATGTTTGTACAAGCTATTATTATAAATCTGTATACCTGTCTAGTTGCACATGCACACAGCATAGTGAGACAATGAAAATTGTTTTTATATATGTACAGAAAATATTTAAAACATTTTATTTATAAAAAAGGAATTAAGCTTCTGTTACTATTTTACTTGAAGCCCAGTGATTTTTGTAGGTAGCTTAACCAAGATAATTCAAGATTCTATAAATTGTTTCTGTGGCTCAGTTTAACAAATAATGTTTTTTTTTTTTCCAGTGGGAGATTTGGTTTTCAGAGTGATATTAGCATTCATATCTCATGAGGTAGCAGAAGAAGAGTACATAGAGAAAGTAGTTTTCCATACTGTGGAAAATAGAATGTTTATTTTTTCCTATTCCTTTTGCTTTTCCTATCCTTCAGTAAATGTTTTGAAATTTGAATTACTCTTAAAGTGCTTGGAAAACTCTCATCTTTTCACCAAAATTTTGACTGATGGCCATTACATATATAGGTGTTTGGACAACAGAAAGATCCTTTTCCAAGAAAAAAAAAATAGGGAAATACTTGGTTTTTGCCTGTTTTCTGTCTGACTTGCTGGTTTTAACAGGGAAAGCTGTATCACAAAAATGATAAATGAAAGATAACAAAATACATACCAGTTCTGTAGTAGACATGTAGGTGCTTCCCATACTCACATGTTTCTTAAGTAATCAAAATAAAATTTCAGAGGAAAGTGCCTCTTGCCTTTAAGGCTTCTTGAGACCTCAAAAAGAGAGACTGAAGAAGGTGAGACTTGGATCCAAGCCAGCCACTGAAAATGAGCACACAGCCTCAGTAGGTCAGGTTAGCATACTCCACCTGCTGATCTCACCTGCTCATCGTTCTGAGAACTAAGTTATCCAGAAATGCCCCAACATCCACATATTTTCCCTGTATCAAAGAATAGATTATCAGAGAAAGATGTAGATATAGAATCATTAGGAATCATTAGGTTGGAATAGACCTCTAAGATCATCAAGTCCAACCATCTTATATATACAAATAGTTGCTTGGTATCCTTTGAAGATATTTAGCTTGCATGTTTTTCTACAACAGTCACAGTTTATGAGCTGGCTAGTAACATTCCTTTTCTCTTAAATTTGTTTTAGTAAGGTACTTGATAGACATCTTTTCCCAAGTGGATGTTATTACTTACCAAATGGTTTCTTCTCAGTAGGAATATTTAATATGCATCATATTTCAGAATACTTCTAAATTTGAATAAATACTTTTCAGTGGTGAATATTTAAGTTGCAATACCTCTATCAAATTTTGGGGAAGCAAATCCATCCTGTGGCTATCATTGCCATTTAGTTGAAACAGTTTTTCAGAGAAAACACACTTTAAAATTTATTTTCCTAAGTGGTTCTTGTCAGGAACCCAGTTCTTAGGATTACATTCCTCCAGTCAGTAGCAGAAACGATACCCTTTACTCCATTTAGGCAGTACGTTGATTTTGGAACTGAGAATACCATGATAATAAAGCTGCCCAGGAACATAGAATAGAAATTGTATTTGAAAAACCTGTGATCTGTTCCAGGCATCCCAGGATGAGGGGGAAGAGAAAAAGGGAAAATGTATAATTCTCAAGAAGACAGTTTTTGGCCTTCAGTGTGTTGTTCAGATCAGCAGACCACTACTAGGAGCTTGGAGTTGTCAGGCTGGTCTTGATTGAGGCCATAGTTTGATGAGGATTTCTTTTGACGTCTCTGTGAGCTTAAGCAGCCTTTGTCCACAGCCCTTCTTACCCCCATAGCTGTGTGTGCTGCACTTCCACAAGAGTTTGAGGACTTCACAGTTGGCTAGAGAAGGTGCTGAGCACAAATTACTGGCAAAAGTGTGGGCCATGGTAGGGCAGAAATAAGCGGATAAGGCCGATGCCAAAGGAAATATTTCTTATACTATGCCCATACAGGTTTCCCTTCAGAGCATATTAGCATTGGCACAGACCACATCATTTAGCAGCAGTAGCTGCTGTTGAGAAAGTGGTGTACATAAGTTTCTTATCATCTTTGGTTGTAGCCTATTTGGTAAGCATGGTAATACCTATTATAGATGCGTTTCAACTTAATATAGGAAAGAAATGTACTCTATCTTTTTTTCTAAGATTACAGAATGTCTTCAAGCATACACAGAGTCTGTTATCCTGCATTAAAGACTTCAAATTTCTTTATAAAGCTGCAAATTCTACACTGCCATCTCAAAGAGTAAACAAAAATGAAATAATTTTAAGGCTGATTCACCTTAAAATTCCTTCCTGATTTTACATTAAACTGCAAGAATCTCAGTAGTGACTGTAGTACTGGAAAGAACAATGGAGGAGCAATATGATAGCATGGGAGCAGCAGGACCTTAGCCTGATCCTTAGATTTCAGACTGGTTTTGCTCGGTTCTCAGTGGGTGATGGATCTTTCCATCTGTGAACTGAGGGAACCTGAGCTGACAGGCAGGGTCAGTCAGTGCAGAACTGCATTGTCCCATTGAGACGTTTCTCAAAGTCCAATTAGAGTTAATGGAGCAGATTTCGAAAAGCTGCCTCTAATTTGGTTTTGGGGTTTTTGTTTGTTTGTTTTTTCCAGAAAAGTTTGGATTTAGGCTTTCAGCTCAAGTATTTACAATTTACTGACTATTTCCATTCACACTAATACTGGTATAGATGAGTATAATACCCGACGAGTGTAAAAAAAGCAGTAGTTTAGAATAGCTTTCCCTAATAACTGCAAAATGTGCTTGACTGTGAAGAGATTGAAAAATAGCTGAAATGTACTCCCGTGACCATAGAAGATGTCCCAGTATTTAACTCCATATTTAACACTGTATGGACAGTGTTAATTTGACAGCATTACTTCTAACTGATCACTGCTGAGCTTTCAGCTATGAAGAACACTGTCATTTTAGTGATTCACACGGTTGTCTTCAATATATTCTGTAGATCAAGTAGTGATCTTCAGGAAAAGTTCACACTACAGTCAAGAACTAGCATTGTCGTTTCTTAGGGTTTGGGGTTTTTTCACTCACTAGAGGAAAAAGGTTCGTCTTTGATGTCTTTTAGTACTGCACAGCAGACCACTTGTGTCCTAAGTATTGTCTGTTTCTGATCTTTTCCACTTTTTTTTGTGCTTTTTTTGTGCAAGTCATTAATGTATTACAGTTTTAATATATATTTCTGGGCTCGATTTCCCGTTTTCAACATGAAACAGTGAATACTGCAGAGCGTCCAGGGAATTTCTTAGATTTTTATTACTTTTATTGTTTTAATTCTACTAAATTATTCCTGCTTCATTAGTTTTGTATAAATTTCTATAATCCAAAGTCAGTGTTTGGGAATCTTTTTCTTAATATTTTTTGACGTTCTGAATTGTACTGTTCCACCTGTACTTTTTATCTAACACTGATAGTGATCCTGGGAAATCTACAGCTCTGCCAAGATGCTAACCAGACTTTGTTTTCAATGGGATTTCAAGCATGATTGAAATGGCGCCTGTGAAAATTCCCACTGTGGAAACTTCTTAAATGGAGGAAGCTCATCCTTGTTTAAGGGAGGATCTGGAACAGTGTAAATTGCTAGCACTGATGTAAAATCAGATCTTATTGCAGCTGTAACTGCACAAATACAGCCGCCTTAATTGATCAATGTAAAAGAAGACTTGAAAGAAATGTGAATACCTAAACCAATGTACTCAAGATGAATGAAACAGTCTTATAGGTTTGCATATACAATTGCCTCGTGCTGTGGAAACAACTCAGCTTCGTTCTGATAGTCTAGCTGTGTACATTTAGACTAATTCCAAAGACCAGCAAGTTTTTCTAGTATGTAACATGTTTGTATCTGACCCATTTTTTGCAAGAGAGTGGATTGGACTTTCCAGTTACGCATCACCTTGATTTCAGTATTAAATTCTGGAAATTAAATGTCATCTCTTTATTTTGTTGTTCCATTGCTTATTTTTTTAACATTTTATAATAATGTATATGGTGCCCTGAGGCTGCTGCTTCTGATCCAGTAACATCCCGTTCACATATAATCCAGGAAATTACTGTGTTTTGAATATTTTTGGTTCCCATGGGAATCAGTGTTTAATTTGTTCAGCAATTTACAGGACCTCTCAGCATCCTCAAGGACTGGATCAGTAACCGACTCCAGAAGTGAACTGCCTCAGAGCAACATATATTTTGGCAATATGCTATTTTCTATGATTGATTTTTTTAATTTACTCTTTCATGTAATATCCCTTCCTTTTACCAGTTCTTCTTTATGAACCTAATTGGTTTTCATGTTCATTTTATTTTTAGAAATTTTTAGAGGCAAGTATTTATAAGTAAATATAAATATGGTATAGCAATAAAAAAATTAAACCCACTACTAAACCCTATGTAATTTTGGTTTTTGTGACCTTTTGTTTTCAAAAAGTTTCACATGACGCA